TATTGTAAAATAATATAAAAAAAATTTTCATCAATTGTGTAACGATTTTGTGACGTATCAACGGTTCCTCCTGTTCCGATACGTATCAGTATTGTGTAACAATATGTGACCTGTTGTACGACAACTGATTCTATAAAAAGGTAGAATGTACGACTACTTCTTACTAAAAAAATTTTTTCGTCCTATCCAACTAAATACGTAAATAACCATGTCTACTGCCGGAGAAAAAGTTCTTCCTACAGCCGATGAAGTGAGAGGATGTAAAACAACGGAACAACTAATAGAGTTTTTGGGCAAACAAAAACAAAACTTAGGACTTGAGGATAAGCATCTCGATTTTCTTCGTGAACAAGAATTTAAAGGCGAAACCTTCCTCGACTTGAGTATTAAAGAACTCATCGATATTGGGTTAAAACGAGGACCGGCTGAAACCATTACTGGCTTTATTGAAAAAATCAAGGGCGAAGAACAGGGTAAGTAGTACCACGACTGCATTTGAATATTCCAAACCTATACTGCTTTCTCCGCAATAATTTCATTCATTCTTTAATATCTTTTATACCTAGGTCAAAAGAAAGAAGCGGATGTAATTTTAAGTAAGTTTATTAATTTTACGAATCAGGAGAGAAAATCACCCGAAAAGCTTGTAATAATAGTGTTTGTCTTTTTACTTTATCAATAATCAAGCTGTGGACGAACAATATTACCAACGATATAGGAATGAACATTCTGGAGCTTCCGATAAAGAAATAATAGACTTCATGGATTTTATCTCACAATATGTGCCAGGGCACTCTAAAGATTCTTATGAGGATGTAGTAAAAGCATTTCAAGAAAATGGTATGTAAACATACTTAGAAAGCTATTGTGGTTATAATTTATTGTGATCTTATCTCGTTATTTTGGTACTTGTTACTACTTAGCGAAAGTGTCAAGTAAGCCGATTGCGAATAGTATTATTCTATTAGCAATTTTTGGATGAAGTTTAATTATTTTTCTAGCATTTAACAATATTGTCCTTCTATCAATAATCAAGCTGTGGACGCCAAGATTTTTCAATATTACCGACGATATAAGAATGAAAATTCTGAAGCTTCCAATAATGTCATGGATTTTATCTCACAATATGTGCCAGAGCACCCTAAAGGTTCTTATGAGGACGTAGTAAAAGCATTTCAAGCATTTCAAGGATCAAACAGTATGTAAACATTTAGAAAACTATTGTGGTAATTTTTTGTGGTCTTATCTCGTTATTTTGATATTTGTTACTACTTAGAGAAAGTGTCAAGTAAGCTGATTGTGAATAGTATTATTCTATTGATTTTTGGATGAAATTTAATTATTTTTCGTATATTCTATATTAGAACCACCGTTATATCGTTCTAGAAGTAAAGAAGATTTAGAAATCGTCCAGAAAGCTTTTAATAGAACTTTCCAAGATCCAAGTAACCTTTCGGAAAGGTTCATAGAATTTATTGACAAG